CCCCATTATCTAGCTTCCCTATTTACCAGTATTGTTCAGAACCTTTAAGAACAACAGAACACCATCCCTCCAAACCACGAAACCTCTTTCAGAACGCATTTCTCTGCAACCACGTGTTTACCGTAGTTAAGGTTTCTCCATGTAAGAAGTTCAAATTTTTTGCCCATTAATGTAAGATGGACAAATACCTTGTAAAGGCAATATCTTCTACTCCGAAACGGACAAATGAAAATGAAACAAACGTGGGTAGAAACGATCAAAACGAAACAAACACTCATTTGAGCAACCTAATGAGAATAGCTGATGAAAAAGTAGATGTAGAACATTTTCCATATGATGATGCAGCAAAAATATTCAATGCTTTAAAAATTAGAAGATGTTAAAAATGTATTATAATTAACGAAATGATTTTTTTTTCAAGTCTCTTTGTGCTTTAGATTTTTAGAAATCTCACTTAACTTTTTGAAATCTCACCCTGTTTTTGAGAAAGGGTGAGAAATTCTCACCCATTTTTTTTCTGCGATGAAAACACTGGAGTGGTACGATGGAATTTTCATTCCTGAAGTGAAAAAAAGCCAAAAATCTGTTGGAAGTCCTGTGCTTTTGATTGTTGATAATGCACCAACTCATCCCACAGAAGAATTGTTGAAATCCTTAAGAATCCTTGAAATCCTTAAAACCATTTTTTCCCCTCATTTCCTATACATACAGTACATTCCACTACACATACAGTAATTATTTAAAATAAGCATTTTTTTTTTTTAAAAAAAATCCAATTATCCGAATTTTTGATTTGATTTGAATTTTTGATCCGAATTTGGGGTCCGGTCCCAATTGATTCGGATAATTGGAGTTCTACTGTATATATATATATATATATATCAATGAATCTTGATCTTGATGTGCTCACGAAAACGGTTGTTTAAAAAGGTGTCTAGAAAATAGGCATTTTAAAAAATCAGCGAAGTCTCCTATCCAGCCTTAAATTCAGTATTTTTCATTAAACCACAAATTCTGTAACAGTATTGGGTAAATTTTAAGCCACAATGCAATTAAAAAGTACAAAACAGTCATTAGCTTAAAATTGCAAGCTAAATAGGCAATAGTGATAATAGGTTGGACAACATTTTTTTTTCTTCTTAAAAATAAATTTATTCATTTAGACTTAAACACACAAGTTGAAAAGCATTCTTTTACTTTATTTTGCCAACAATGTAACTCAAATATACAAATGAAATGAAAGATAAAATAAAAAATTATTTAATGATTCAATTAATATCAGCTCAGAAGGTAAAAAAAAAAATCAGAAAAAAAACTAATTTAAACTAACTTTTTAAGCGGAATGGGGAAACAAAAACAAATATTTAAAAATCATTTTGGCAGCACAAAAAATTGACGAATAATGAATATCAGCTTAAAAGCCGTATGTTTTCGTTGCATAAATAATATGGAAGCAAAGCAGGCACATTGCATTCAGCAACGTAAATACAACAAAATGAATTGAAAAAAATATAATTGGAAATTTGTTTTAATAGAACAAAAAGAATTGCACTGCAAAATGAAACATGGGCAACAGGATGTTCCTTTGTTAAAATCTATTATTTTCCATATAATAAAACAATTAATAAGCATTCATTGCAACCTACATTATGTATTGATTTTATGTTAATAATCCACATCTTATGAGGAATTTAAATAAAATATTAAACTAAAATAATGAAAGAAAAATTTAATCATGAAATAAGCATCTAAATAAAGGTATATAATCAACTCAAAGGGATTTAATAAAAGCAAAATACGAAATTTTGAGCATGTCTAGTGAAAACTATGATACTACTAATACCTGAGTCTTTAAATAAAATTATATATACAAACGCGAAAATAAAAATTAAAACTTCAACATTCGCGCGGAACATTACATACTTATCTTCAATAACAAACTAAATATACGATGACGATTATTTGTCGAGACCTAAATATCGAATCACTTCCTATTCCGAATCTCAAAACAATTTCCCTTATTTTTTGCTGTTGCGATCCTACTTAATAAATTTTTGGTAGTTAAACCCTCACTTGAGCTAAGATAATGGGGAATTTTTTCAGTTAAATTCATTATAAATTACTAGTTATTGCTTGAATACTCGAATAATGTTACTTAGATCAGAAAAAGAGGGGTAAAACTTTAAAATGCTTGATTTTTAAAAAGGGCCATTCTCGCTTTATGCAATTCACGCACTTCCCATAGCCGCAAAGAAATTTGGGGAACCTGCTGATTAAAAAAAGTATTTTCGTGGAAAGATATTTTTTCCCATTCCTCCGCCAACTTGACAGTGATTGAAAGTATGTGAACCACGTTCACTGAGAATGACAGTTTATTTGCTAAGGGCATGCAGATGAATTCTACAGATCTTAGCACCTGCCATTTTGTGGTCGTACGAAGGCTATTTTTATACACAAAAAAAAAAAAAAAAAAAAAAAAAAGAAAAAAAAATCATTACAAACTTCAAATAAACGAAGAAAGAAAGAAACAAATGAAATAAATTAATTAGTTAATAAAAAGCTCATGACTTCAAACAAATTTCTTACATTCATTTACTGTTAGCAACATTCCGTAAAACAACAAATTCTCCCGTTTAAAAAAAAAAAAAAAAATGAGAAATTTTTTTTTCCTTCAGAAATATAATAAATATAAGAAAGACTTACTTATTTCTAGTCATGATTATTGCAATAGATACAACTAAGGCTATAACAAACCATATTAAAGAAACATCCAAAAGTTTTCTTCAGCGAAAAAGAACAAAGTAACATTGTTGTAAAAAGTTTACAACAATACTACAAGAAAGATTAATACTAGGACACATCTCCAAGTTTCATCCGTCAATTAAACAGGTTTTTATAATTCGCAGGGCCCGATTATGAAGAGCTTGGCAAATATTGATACCTTGGGCAAATACTGATTAAATGGCCCTAATATTTTTCATTAATTATAAAATTTTTATAACCCATATTTTGATAATTTCAAAATTTTACATGAGTGTGCACAATATGGTTTGTACTCTTCGCATTATGCGTCTCAAGGCTGCTACAATCAGTTTTTATATTTGTCTGGTAAGCTCCCAACCACATAGAATTTGACTGTAGCACTGCATCTATGTGCAAAATGCATATAGGATGGACAAGAATGAGTCTTAATTTTGATGAAATCGAAATACATTATGGCTACTTTTTTCCTGTCGCAAAAGTTGACTTTGATTCACATCGCGTCATTGATTTGACTCGTCTTTTTCAGTTAAAATTTGATTACTGTAACAGTTTAATCAATCAGCTAGGTACTAACTTAAATAAACAAGGTACAAACTTTAAAATCGTCCATACTATTAATGTATCTATAATATTAATGTGTGAGGCCCCATAAAAATTTGGGGCCCTGGGTTAGTGCGCTTTCTGCCCATGCGATAATCAGGCCTTCCGATAAATAAATTACTGGACTTCGAAAAAAAAAATTTTTTTTTGTTTGAATGCTTAATATTTGACGCTTAACAAACGCTTTTTTTTCTTCATTTTTGACCAAATTGTTGTAGTTGTAGTTCATTTACGTCGCACTAGAGATGCACAACGGGCTATTGGCGACTGTCTGGGGAACATCCCTAAGGATGATCCGAAGACATGCCATTGCAATTTTGATCCTTAGCAGAGGGGATGGCACCCCCGCTTCGGTAGCCCGACGAACTGCGTGCGAAGTCAAGCACTTTACGTTAGAACAGTTTAACGAGGACCAATACCGCACACCCTCGGTCCCTACGCAGACTGATCCCACTTTTGATTGAAAATCTAAAAACATGTATATTGAGAAGAAACTGTATTGGCGAAATACCCTCTATATATGCGGACTAAGGGGCATGTTAAGTACCCAATATATCAAAAGCAATGGGAAATACTTCCTAATTATTTATTCATGCATATTTAAATGAAATAGGAATTTTGTGTTTACAATAATATAAAAATCTTAATTTTGATCTGAAAGCAGAACTTTAGAGAAAAAAAACTAAACTGGAACTGAAAGGAAATGTCCACAGGAAACATGCATTAGTTATTGTCTTTTTTTATTTACTTGACATTTCGCATGTATAGGAGGTGATAAAGTGATCTAGTTTAATTTAATTTTACAAAATTTTTTTCTTGACTTATACTTTTTTGAATTGCTTTACCCCTTTATATCAATTATTATAAACTTTCCACTGAAACATCACAAATAAATGGACTCCAACGAACATAATGTTCCTAGAAATTTTAACTTCAGCTAATTTTCTTTTATTTTGAATAAATAAAATTCTTTCATGAATAATTTCTCCTTTAGAATCTTAAATTATAATGTTATGATTGCTGTTGTCTCTAATGCAGCCTGCTTGGTGAAACAAAGCGAATTTAAGACAGAGGGCGCGTTTCTTGTTTTTCAGTGGTGCCATCTATAGCTAAAAATACAACTTTAGCCACACACGTCACAGTCCGTTTATAGGGCAGATCCAATCATACATCCACAGATTGTAATTTTGTTCTGAACCAGAGAACGATCACTCTTCGATTCAGTACCCCCAGAGGTATTGCTTTGTTATGGGAACATGGGGACTTTGCGACAGATTTAACGTGCACCAATCACCATTTACTATACGGGGAGTCTTCGACGGCCACCTGGACATGGGCCCAACGCCCTACCAACCAAATTATCCCGGCCTTTATGTTATAAACTGTATTTAACGATATTTATTTCTCAATTGAGTATATTATATAAAAAAATTATAAAATTTTTAAAAAGAAGACAAAATTCGAGACCAAGAAATTGTAACTACAACAGTTCACTATAAGAAATTTAGGAGCGTGTCAAACCATAATATCGTTCAAATTAATATAATGTTTAGTTGAACTACACCATTTTAATTTTTGAATTTCACTATACGGCAGTGCTATGGTTCAATTTGAATGGAAATAGGGTTCAATTAAACGCCTTTTAAAAGCAGTGGCAGACTTGCACCGTATTTATGGTTCAAGTTATCGATTTCAAGGTTCGTGGCATGGTTCATAGTATCGATTTTACGATTCAACGATGAAGCGATTTTGAGAATGTAGACTCTATCTGCATTTTCTGACTCTCCCGTAAAATGATAAAAAAAATTTAAATTGCAACTTAAATCGTGTTCCGGGTTCAGATTAATTTCTAAAATGCGTCTTGAATTTACGAAGTTAATTTTCTTTTCCAGCCGTAAAGTATCGCAAATTTCTTGAGTGGTTTTGTGATAATACTTTTGAATGAGAGCAAGACAAAATAGCGTAAATAAAAATGTATCACTGAGTAGGTAAAAAGATTGAGAGATCAATCTTACGAATTTAATGATCAGTGTTTTGGTACAAGCAATTGTGTTAATTGATGCATTGCCATCAGTCTATCCGCTGGTTTTCCAACAAAAGTTTCTTAAAAATGGTAGCGATAAAACATCACCGTAAGAATACTTACTGTCCAATATGAAAGATCTCGTTTGACTTCTAAAACTCATCCACCACCTCTTGATTCTCTGAACCAGTAGTTCCCAATAGGTTCCGTGGAACCATAGGGCTACGTGAAAGGGTCTCAATCTTCGGGATTAAAAATGCATCGAGACCCATGCCCGGAAATGTCGTCATACGCTGCTAGGAGCGCTTCCTTATTATGAAATTTTTCTTTGTATGCTTCTGAACAGATCATAAAAGGGAAGCAACCCCTGTCGCGCATAAAGACCTTTCCAATCATGGAATTCAATGAAACTTTAATCTTGATGATGGTAATTCTAAGAACTATTCCTTGAATAACTTTATTAAAAAGTGCGATTTTTTCTAAAAAATTTTCTTTTTTTTCCTGACTTTTCAATTTAAATTTTCTTGATAAACATTCTCAACGTTAATAACAGTTCTTTATATTTTTTTATTTTTTATTTTCCTAATTCAGCTCCATTTTTAGCATTTGGACACACCAAAAATTAATTCAGAATTAGATAAGATATTGCTTCAGATTCGTGAATTTAACTGTCCAGCATTATTTTAAAAGTATAATTGATAACACTAACGAAATTTCCTTCTCAATAAAATAGTTAATAGTTTTTTTTCGATTTATATGTTCAAAATTCATGAAGTCGGTATTCAGCTAAAAGAAGGGTGATTATTTAGGGCTCCATTCGGCGAAAAAAAGTGGGCACTATTGCTTTAAGGCAGAAATCGCCAAAGTGGTCTATATAGACCCCCAAGGGTCTATTTAACAAAAGCGGGGGTCGATCTGAGACAGGGGGGCGAATGGGGGTCGATCCGAATCGGAAGGGTCGATTGTGGGTCGGAAAAAAAAAACAGTTCTCAATACACAAATCACACATACCTAATTAAGTATGTAAAATTTGTGAATTTTTCTTTATAATTGACTCAATATCAGTTTCTTTATAAAACATAAATTAATAAACCTATATTTATTGGGGTGAAACAAGTATTTACGTACCACCGTGCAGTGGCACGAGCTCAGCGCGGTTAAGTCATATGCATATATGCGCTTGTCCAAATGTCACGTGTGACGAGCATTGACGTTACAAATGCAAATATCATACGCAGTTTCAGCTATCTTTGCAAACTGTGTTGCATATTTGCAGTGTCATTATTAAAACTTTTATAGTTTTGGATAATTAGTTATTGTTTCAATAAAACCATTCGTTTGGTTTAGATATCAATTTTAATTATCAATGCACAAAAAAGTAGGTAAGCATTAATAATATGGCTTAGTACAGCCCACGACAAAACTATAGCACATTTTGTATTTTTTTACGAAAATTACAAAATTGACTAATTTTGACGAAAATTAAAATTGACCGATATTGAACCCAATATAACGAACCTTGCAAAAAAACACCAGGCTCACCCATCTCATTGATCAAGAAGCAGTAAACCTTTAGTTACTTTACTTATTATATCTACTTATGCATAAT